TCCAGACAAGGAAGTGTTAAGTACCACAGGGTTGTGTTCTAGGTCTTGTGCTGTTCAGCATATGTATAAATGACCTAGATGAAGAATTAAGAAATATCATTATTACATTTGCAGACAATACAAAAACAGATGGGATAGAAAACATCTTAGAGAAGAGTCTTGATTCATGAGGATCTTGACAAGCTGGAAAAATGAGTAGAAATCAGCAAGATGAATTTCACCATGGACAATGAGGATCTTGACAAGCTGGAAAAATGAGTAGAAATCAGCAAGATGAATTTCACCATGGACAATGAGGATCTTGACAAGCTGGAAAAATGAGTAGAAATCAGCAAGATGAATTTCACCATGGACACATGCAAAATCCTACATTTCAGTAGGAAAATTTAAAGCATGAATGAAGGATAGGGGGACCAGTATGATGGGCAGTACATGGAATCTGGATGTCTTGGTGGATCATGAGGTGCATATAAGCCAACAGTATGATGCTGCTTAAAAATCTAGTTGCAACAAGAGAAGTATAATATCAAGCAGTCATCATTCCTCTTTATTCTGCTTTGATCAGGTTTCACCTAGAACAATTTATCCAATTTGGGATACCACATTTTAGGAAGGACTGACAAATTAGAATATGTCCAGTGGAGAACATCTAAAATGAGTGGCCTAGAAGGAAAAATCTATGATAAGCAGCTGGAAGCCCTGGATATGTTTAGTCTAGAGAAGAAAGACTGTGGGGAAACATGATAGCTGTCTTCAAGTATATGAATAGTTGTCATGTAGAAGACCAAGCAGAATTGTTCAGAGTTGTTCTAGAAGACAAGACAAGAAATAATGGGTTTAAACTGCAAGTATGTAAATTTCAGTTGGACATCAGGAGAAATTACTTCAGGTAAAAGCTGTTCAACAATGGAATAGACTGCCTCAGGAGGTGATGGACTCTCATTCACAGGAGGTATTTAAGCAGAGGCTATGGGCTGGGAATGATGTAGTAGTGGAATCTTGAACTGTGTATGGGGTTAGATTAGATGTTTGCCAACCCTTTCATTCTATGAATCATCTATCAAGTTGTCTCAAATATCAAGATGCTATTTATCTCCCCTGATATTTCATCTTATATTAGAACCATTGACCTTTATCGTTACAAAATCAAAGACATTCTGCTTATAACAGTGGCTAGAGTTGCAAAAATAATTGATATATGCTGATGATATATTTTACTGATGATTATGAATATTCTGTATCAGACTTTATGGGTATTGTACAACAGTGGTTTACTCAAGTAATTGGAGTAAGTCTCATATGCTTTCTAGAGTTTCTAATGTTTCTATAGAAATCTGTAAATATTGGGGCTTCATTTGACATCTGAATTCTTTTCAATAATTTGGAATAATTATCCCCTCCTCTGTATTCATGATAGCTGTAAATATTTCAAAGACAATCCTAGGTTAGAACTGAGGTGGCATACAAATCCTGACAAATAACATAAAGTATAAAATAAAATGATAAAATAAACTGAGTAATTTTGATATAAATAGATGGATAAAAATCCCAATGAGCTTTTGGGAAAAACTATATTTACTTAGAGGAATTTCCTTGTCAATACCGTTAAGGTTTTTCAAACAGATTAATAAGTGGCTAAAATGGATCTGTGGGAAAGACAGAGCTCCCAGTTTCTTTTATCTAAATTAGGGTGGTCATAGGATGTTGGAGATTTCATGCTTCCAGACTTTCCACTTAATCACTGGCCATACATCTTGACCTTGGTCCCTCCATGGAATCCAAGTGATCTACTCCAACAAGCATGATGGACATAATAAGAAAGTTATTATGTAAAACCTCTGCAATTGTGGCAGGGGGTTGGCTTCCTTTTCAGTCAAGATTCCACTGTATATTCAGCATGAATGGCTGCAAGGCCTATTTAGAAGATCTTGGGATGGAAGTATATCATCTTATTCATATGATAAACTTTGGCATAATCCCAGTCAGAAAACTGTACACAAATCTTCTATAATTTTTTTTAATCTATTTATGTCTATGGGCTAATGGATATTACTACTTTAGATCAGCTAATTTAAATCACTCAAGTTACTGCAAAAGGAATTGTGATTTTCTAAAACTGCAGAATAGCAGTACATTCAATTAAACATCTGCTGATTTCACTATTGGTCCAATTCCTGAGTTTTTGTCAGCTCTGAAATGTATTCTGGATGATTCCATATCTGTGGTATTTTTTTCAATAGGCCATGAAAAAAATAGCGAAGGTGGATATTAATTAATTGCAAGAACTTTGAAACAAAGACTTAGAAAGCTTCATATTGACAAATCAATGGAAGTTAAAGAATATTAAATATATTTCTTACTATATTAAATTGAGATTAATTCAACAAAAAAGTTCATGCTTAGTGGATATCTCATATAATGTTTAAAAAGCGTTGGTTCTCAACTTTGCTATGTTGGGAGTCTAAAATGTTAGATGGGGCAATTATTCATATGATATGGTCTTGCCCCTACTATTGCCCCATTTTGGTTTAATTTCTAGAAGTGTGGAGCTTTAAATTGTGAATATGATTCTGAATTGTGCACTAAAATGGTGAAATCTATCATTATAATAAAGGACTATGGTTCTATTGAATATGGTGCATACAAAAAAAAGGTCACTCTTTTACAACAGAAAGGCAGCCACACTATGGATTTACAATCTTGGATTAATTATATTTATTCACTTTCTGTTTTGAACTGGTTCTTTATTGATGTAAAGAAAATCTAATCAATATTTAATGTTGTGTTTAAAAATGGAGTGACTTTCTGTTTGGTTGGTACTGTGGTTTTACCCTTTTTCTTTTTCCCCTTTTTTGGAGGAGGTTGTTTTTCGCCTTTTTACTTCATGTATGTATATTAAAATAAGTAATAATATCATGGTGTCAGCTTATGTGTGGTCTTAGATTTTAAAATAAATACTATTTTATAATAATTGAACTATTTAGCTTTGATTGAACAGTGTGATTTTTTAAAAAAAAATTGGCAAAGTGTTTCTAATAATTATTGTGCTATGCTCTATCCTATACATGAAGCAATGCGTGCTTCATTCTTAAGTCTTCTTCCATTCATGTTATCACATCATATGTTTTCAGAGGATCTGAGTGGCAATCTGCTCACTCATTGCTGAGTTCAGCCTGTTTAGGTGAGTCCTAGAAAAAGCATGGCGTCCTTTCCCCTCCTTCTCTAGTTTCTGTCATTCCACAACTGCCTCCTCTTCTTGGAGTGACCATGACAGGGTAAGGTCTTCTTTTTCTGAAACCCCACCACCTTTCAAAAGCATAGCAGAAAAAAAGGGAGCAGAATTATTTATACAGGCTTTTGTTATGCAGAAATTTTACTAATGTTAATGCAGACTGAGACCTCTCATTTCTTTGTAATTAAGCAGGACTGGAGATGTTTAAAGTGGGAGGGGCAGATAGGTGATGATGCTCACAGAATTATAAGTTCTGATCCTACTATGTCCCATGTATCAAGCACTGATGTTATAAGTGGTTGATTATTTCAGCATCAGAGAGATGCAAAAATGAACAGAGCATATCCCAATGCTGATTATTAGGCAAAGAAGATCTATCTTCTGGAAAAAAAAGAAGAAGACCATTTTTATTGGAAGGCTGTTGCTAATAAGAATTGCATTCTTCCTGGCCAATCAGTTTAAAAGTTGTAATACAGCATACATTCTCATAATGGCCATTCAGTCAATAAACTGCAAATCAAATCCAAAGCTTGAGAGTGCAACATGCATTGCATCTTTAGCTGATCACTCATGAGTTGGTTCTCATGGCTGTTCTCTGGAAGAATCCACAATCTGTTTACAGATGTTGATTGTATACATGGATCCTCCTAATAAGTAACTAACTTCATCCAGGATTTGTTGTAAGACTACAATAAAAGAACAAGAGAGACATTAACATCCATCAGAGTTACCTTCAGGAGAGTCATGATTCAGTGAAAAGTTTAGTAAATAAATAGCATTCATTATAATCAAATGAGGCAAAATACTAGAAACATTCTTTTTTAAAAAGGCTTTGAAGCATTTCATGAATGTCCTTGGTGATTATTACAAACCACATAAGGGTGGTAGGTATTGTTATCCTCAAAAGCCTAAATTTAAATTGTGCTTCCTGTTTCACAACTTACAATAATCACTTAATGCTTCTAAATTTCAGTGTACATTGGCTCACCCACTTTTTCTTATTACATGTCTGGATTGTTTGTTCAATCTGATATGAGGAGATTTTAGCTTTATTCTGGACTCTACATACAGCAGGCTGTTAAAATAAAAATAACAATCATCCAGCAGTTTGTAATTCTTTTAGAAAAAGAAATGCTGGGTATGGCAGAAGAAATCAAACTAGTCTGATATTTTCAGTCCTTTGTGTATTCCAATTTAGGTTCAATATTTGGGGAAAAGACCAATTCACAACCATCCTGGCCATTCCCTTTCCAAAGGGAATTGAAGGGATACTTTCTGCTAGCTTTAGATGCATGTGGCTTGTGCAGCTATTGTCATTACTGGATAGTGGAATGGTACTCATCAATTCACGATTAATTAATCTCACCTAGTATTTAGTCCCCATGGCATTCCCTTTCTCTAATATTGGTATATGAGAATACAACTCAGGAAATTGCAGTCAGAATTCAAATTATTTTTCACTCAGAAAATGTGTTTGAACAATATAAATATGTAAAATGAAATAAGGAAGTTAATCACCCTTCTATAATTTTTAACCAACTTTTTATTCCCTAGGAATATTCAAAACAGGACACTGAAAATAATTCCTGGGGGGAAATCTGTTTTGGATCAGGATTCTGAGTTCACAAAGATGGTTGTAAAATTCTTTTCTGTCACCATTATGATATGTCAGAGCTTACAATATCAACATATAACACAAACTTAGCAAAAGAAAACATATTTGGTTCATCTTAATTATTTCCTCCCTAGAATATGTGCAGAAGAGTGAGAGAGATGGAGAGAGGAAGAGAATGGACACCCAGTCATCAATGAAACCGCCGCATTGACCTCTCAGTCTAGGGTGGGAGGGGTGCAGAAGATTCCCCCATCAGTGCAATCAACACCACTGCCCTCTGCAATGATCCCCATTATATGCTTCCTTCTCATGCATGTTTCAGCACCATAGACAGCGGGGGGGGGAGAGACAGAGAGAGCGAGCTAGCAAGAAGCCAGCGTTAAAGGCGTCAGCGCGGCTGTTCCGAGGGAGAGAGGCGAGGAAGGGGAAAAGTTGAAGTGCGACGAGCAACGCCAGGCTCTCTTCTCCCTCCCTACTTTTCCAAGCTGGCACAGTGTTTAGAGAGGGCGCTCATCATGCAGTGTTTAGCAGCAGGGGCTGACAGAACTGCCAGGTAGCCGCAAAGAAAGGTGCTGTGAAGAACCCACTTTCCAAGTCCAAGGAAGACTGGATCTGGACACCTGGCAACTGAACAATTAGTCTCAGTCTCTTTCTCTCTCTCTCTCTCTCTCTCCCCCCTCCCTCCCTCTCTCTCCCTCTCTCTTCCTCTAATCAGCCCCCCTGAAGCTGGTCTCCCTCTTTTCAGCTTTTCCAGGAGAATGCTGGCAGTGTTACAATTGGGGCTGTGGTGCCCAATCCCATTGTAAAATTTCTTTGCCCTTCCTTTCCTTGCGGGATTGTGTGGCTCTCTGGCATTACCCTGATGTGACTTTCCAATCCCCTCTTGCTCTGGAATCATGGGCATCTTTTGGGCTTATGTTGGATTCCTTTTCTTCACAGTATTGTACATCCAGCAAGGACTTTCTTCTCAAGGTAAGAGCCACCTTTTGCCAACACTGGAATAGAGGGAATCTGTGGTGGACAGAAAAAGCTATCACAGTGAGAGGAGGGGGCCTATTGAAAGCCCTTCTTGTATATCCCTGTTTAAATCTTATTCTTTCCCTCCCCCCATTAAAAAAAGGGGGGGATAAGTTCACCTGAAGTGAGTATGATACAGATTTGGGCATTCAGTTTCCAGACACAAATGTAACATAACCAGCTTATAGATGTATTGTTTATGTCTGAGCAATGCTTTCATTTAAAAAGAGGTTGTTGTTCATTTGTTTTTAAACATAGGGGATTATATACTGTGTGTTTTCCAACCCTTGTGTTCAGGATTCACAGAGTCATGGAGCCTGTGGGAAAGGGAATTTGCTTTTCTCCTTTAAATAGTGTAGTCTTTTTTAGAACGTCACTCTCTCCTCTCCTCCCCCCCCTCCTGTTTTCCCCTATAATCCTATGTTCATGTTCTCAAACCTTGGTTTTTGTCTATATTTCTACAAAGACCACTCCGTTCACTGGCCCCAGCCACCCTGACAAAATCGCCTTCTGCATTCCAAGTAGCCCCAGCTCTGCAGAATCTATCCAGTTGTTTGAGAGTTTGAAGGCTGCAGTGTTCATTTCAGCACCATGGAGAGATCGTATCAGGGAGCTCCTCCAAATACTGCCCTGGCAACCGGAAATGCTGTTAGCAATTTTTGGCTTGTTTATTTGTTTAACTTTAGACAGAGGTGGGGCAGGAGTGGGGGAATAACAGCCAGCAGAAATATGATCTGTTTTCCTACTGGCGATGAGTTTCTGTACTAACAAATGATTGGGAGGGGGGTAGTGCAGGAGACTTTCTCTTTAAATAGAAAACAGAGAAAGAGATCCCTGAGAAAGATACCTGTGGCTGTTTGCAATTAACTATTTTAAAAGTGAAGACCAATCAAGCATTTTCCTCAATAGCACAACGATGAGCCACAGGATATAATCTAGCACATATGTATGAGATATTATTGAAGCCTTTTCAACATGCCCACTGTCAATCTATAATACCACAGAACTGAAGTGGTCAAACTGGTCCTATTTCCGTACTGTCTGAAAAGTGAAAGCAGGATTTGGTAGTGGCTTAGCTGAATAAATCACTTTCCCAATGTCCCTGTGGGAATATAAAGGGCATTATGCTGATTTTTCTGTCAAATATGTGTTAAGAAACATGTTCTTTATTGTGTGTGCTTAGAAGAGGTAGCCATACTGGAGTGCTAGGACTGAAGTAAGGAAGCAAAGTATTCCCAGTGATTGAATCTTCAGAACTAAAATATGATCTATTTTTTAATTTAGTGTGGTATTATAAATAAAACTGAGAATGTTATAAAGTAGGATCCAACCACAGGAATTACTTTATAACAAATAAGTGCCATAATTCACTCTTTAAAATTTTCAGACCTTGTTTTTAAAAACAGGAAAGAAAGAAGCATACTATTCTGACAATATACTTAATAATTAATAGGGTTCATCTATCAAAAACAAACATCTGGATTGTTTGTTGTATTTCACTAATCCCTAAGGGAAAATACTGAAATACTGCCTTCCAAAGAATATTTGCACTTCATTATATGTGACTGTGCAAATCCAAACAAAATATTTCTAAAGTGTTTAGTTTTTCCATTAGCCAAATCTGTGGACAGCAGTGTTTTATTAGACAAATACAGAAAAAGAAAAAGAAAAGAAGCATTAATATTTCAAAGAAAGACATAGAACAGAAAAGACATGAACATTAGTATGTGAAGGAAAAGGAAGAAAATGGGGGAAACAGAGTACTACAATCCTATGTATGCTTAGTTAGGTCTAAGCTCTACTGAACTAACTAATCAGGTGCATGTATAATCTTCTGCATCGTCACTCATAAATATGATCTAGTGGATGCAGTATAATTTATTCCCATGTACATCTGTATAAGATCATACTCTAAGGAAGTGAAATCAAAAAAATGAATAGAAGGGGGGGAGGTCAAGAGAGAGAAAGAGAAAAGGAATCCTAATGAGATCTGCCTTTCTTTTCCAGCCAAATTTACTGAATTCCCTCAGAATGTCACAGCTACTGAGGGCCAGAACGTGGAGATGTCTTGTGCATTCCAGAGTGGCTCTGCCTCGGTGTACCTGGAAATCCAATGGTGGTTTCTGCGGGCAGCTGAGGACCAAGAAGCTGGAGCTGAGGTGACGGACACTCAGGTACCAGCTCGCAGCCTAGGCTTTCCCTAAAGCAGCTAGAAAGTAGAGGTTCAGGGAACAGATGTGGTTTGCCCAGAAATGTAATATACTCACTCACTAGGAGAAGTAAAAAATTGCTGATAAACTGATAACCCCAAGGAATGGGACCATGGCTTTTCATTTCATTGCTAACAGGTTTTGAAAGACCTGTTATTCATAAGCATGGGAAAAAGATATGGACTCTTAAGGAGTTATATTTTGATCAGGGCAAAGGTGCAGTGTACATATAATTTTAGTACTGGAATTAGTACTGAATTTTGCAGCCATGCCACTGGACAAAAACACCTCCTAATAAGATTACATGTTGTAAGTGTTCTTTTCAGAAGGACATTGATCAACAAACACATAGTATGAAATTGCCTTATTAATTGAATAATTACTTGTTATATCAAGTATTTCTTATTCTTTACTTGGGAAGAAAGAATATAATAGATTTCATATCATTTTTATTCCTTATGTTGAGACAGGATGGAAGATATGTATTTGCATCTTTCAGATTCTATATACCCAGCTCCACAATGCCTTTGATGTATCCAGGCAGTTTCAGAATTCATTAACATTACCAAAGCAAAAAGTATCTAATCAAATTATCTTGTTTAGTGTGGCACCCCAGTCTTGTAGTTAGGGGCTTTAGATCAGGTAGAATTTAAATGTATAGTTTCCGTCCAAACTATGCAGCCCAGCTGACTAACCATAGCAGTTAGGAATGACTCTCACTATCAGTAATGAGTTGAACATGGTTGTCTTCCTCACAAAGAAATCCATGATTTTTAGACAGTTAAATTCTATGGGCTTATGCATAAACTCTGCCTTACCTCTTGGTTACTTTATCAAGAATGTGTAGCTGTGTTCCTTTCTAGATACATGCATAAGCAATGGATAGCAGTAGTTTTAATGTTGAAAGAACAATCTACCTGGAGGCAATTCATCAACAATTCTTCTAGCACAAATAAAAAACTTCAGCAGTTCCTAGAGGGAAAAAAATTGAAAAATCTAATATATTCAAAAGTAATGACTCACCACAATCCTCATAAATTAAAATTTTAGTCTACAGTGCCATTCAAACATATTCTAATTTATTCCATAAAATCCATTTTATATCCAAGATATTAGCTGGACTTTAAAAATATTCCTGTGAATGCCAGATTGAATCCAGAATAGATTAGACCCTTTAGCCTCAGGCTATTTCCAAAGGAATGTGTTCAGCCCTAGTATTAAAAAAAAATTTTTTTTTTTTAAATTGATAGTGGTGGGGAATGGATTGAGATTGTAGATTTATTTTATATTATGATAAATTGGGATAAACTCTATACTGAAAAATGTATACTTAAAACTCTACATTGAAATACTTATTACTTATTCGACAATCACTTATATGCAAAATCAGTTCAGTATCTCACATGCTCACTGATAAATACACAACCATTACCATAAGCCTATTTTCTCCTTTCCCCTGAGTTTTTCACACAAGTAATTTCAATGTGCTTAGCCTGTACCAATGTGCTAAAAGTTAGATCACTATCTGACCTTATATAATAAAATATAATTGGCTACAGTAATATACAACAGTGAAGCACATATTTAAGGACATTCAGATCATGGTTCCATACCTTCCTCCACTTGCCCAGCAATCTCTTCCCTCTTCTCCTACTACTCTCAAGTTTGCACACATACACACAGAGATCTGCATATCTGTGCATAGTATACTTTTACAAGAAATATATTTTTGGAATAAGTTCCTTTCTTTTATACTCTTCCTTGGTGAAAACATAAAACAGTTTTTTTTCTTTTTTGCAATACTACAGATCTACTAAGAAAAACTTCCCAAAAGAATGGAAGGGTTGGTGAAAATCAAGATTGGTTTGAGTTGTTGTTGAATCCTTCACATGTTTTATCACCTACTTACTAAAGTGTTTCTTAAGTGGAATAATAATGACAACAACAACAGTAACAACAACGACAGTGACAATAATGTTATAGCAAGCCAGTATCTCTGCTTCTTATCAGCCTTTAACTGAGTCTTTGGGGATAAATGTTCAGAGAAGAAAAATACTCAGATTCATGTCCAATTTTATATTTATGCTAGATTCTTTCCTTTCAGTACAGTTCTAGAAGTAATTAATCCTCCTGAGTAATGCAGATGGGTTTTGCTAGGGTGGCACTTTAGCTTCCTTGGAGCAGAGGCAAGAACATGTCAGCCCATAGCATGCAGATGATTATTACTGACATGACAAATAGGCAAGGACAAATCTTTTCCCTTCCCTTCCCTTCCCTTCCCTTCCCTTCCCTTCCCTTCCCTTCCCTTCCCTTCCCTTCCCTGGTGGACTAATGGCCATGTATTTCAGGGTTTTTGTTTTGCTTTGTTTTGCTCATTGCCAAATCTGCGAGTCTAGTTTAAAAGATATTGATGAACTAGACTGGTCACAATAGTAGTGCTGAACAGAAAAAATGGAAGAACCTTTAGGAGGATAGAAGTCAAGCCACTGCAGGATAAAGGCCTCTTTGCTGAAGGTTATGGACCATAATCGGTTGTGGCAATCCAGTGTGGTTTAGTAGTTATTGAAGAGAATATGGGGGTGAATAATTGATTCAAATGAGTAGATATTCTAAAGTCCATAGTACTCAGCCAGATGCTTCTGGGATGCTCACAAGCAGCAGGCATGGTGTGAAAGACCCTTCCCTGTTATTTGCCAATTGCTATCAGATTTTTAATAGTATACTACCTCTACTCTGCTGTAACTACTAGAGAGACCTCTAGCCTATGAATTTGGCAAATGCATTCTTAACAACACTTAGGCTGACAGCCATTATCACATTTTGCAACAAGTAGGGAAAGCAGTTGTAGGAAATAGGCCAGACACATGTATGTTATGCTGAACTGCAGCAGATTCTCATAATGATTTCATTAGGATATTAGGCAGTCACTTTGTGGCCCATATGTCTAGTTACATAGGCATTGACTCAACCTTTCAATAAAGTACCAATTAGCAACATTCTCCACTTGAAAACCCTGCAACTGTCCAGTGTTTGAGGCTCTTGCTTTATCTGTTGTAGCTTATAATGGATTAGAGAGAATTTGGGGTGGTTTGAAATGAGAAATCAGCAAAGCATTGGAACTTAATTTTTACCTAAGAGGCTTCTTACCTTTGCTATGCAAAAACAGTTATCCGTTCCCCAACAGGTGGAGCTATTACCAGAGAGAGACTTGGACAACGATGGAACAAAAATAAGTGTAAGTGTATGACAAAATATAGATTGCTGCTTCATTTTAAATGACTTTCCACTTGCCTTATTCTCTCTAATTAACAACCATACCAAAACCCATGAGCCTTGGACTAATTAATGTCATTTATTTTCCATATCTTTCCCATGCCTTTGGGATAAACTATTACAGAAGCTATAGGTAAATAATTTGCATTTCCCTGAAAGAGGCAACATCCTACTCCTTCTGGGTTTAACACTTTCATGTGGACATATTGCCAGTAAAATTGGCACTGCTATCCTCCTAAAGGAAAATTTTGAAGGTCCTTTCTTAGCTGAAGCATCCAAGGAATGCCAAGGAATACAACAGCAGTTTCCATAAGATCAAGTGTCCATAAAGTTATTGCAATGTCTCAAGGAATTCTACATATTTCTGGATCCACAAACAATACTGATACAGGTTCTTAGTCAATCTATGTTGAGCATGCTACATGCCTTTCTATCAGCACTGAAGATTTTCCTGACAGTCCAACCTGGTGAAGGAACACTCCATGCGAATGCCACATCAGACATGCACAAAGGACATTATCCATTCTACAATGCAATGAAAGCTGATACATGCACAGCAAGACCTAATACAACTGTGGATGTGCTTATATTTCCCTAGGTTTTGCAGCAGGTGCACATAATTGAAGTACATTATATATCTCTGATGATATTCATAAAAACGGCTTTGTATTGTATGACATGGCAGTAAATTTTTTTGATGAGAAGAAATTCATTTATGAGCATTTATCTGAAGGATGTTTGGGAGAATATATAAATGCTGCATAAATATTCAGGTGTCAGTCAACACAAAATAGTGTTTCCACCCAGAGTCATTTCAGAGTTGGGCAGCCTCTAAATCTCGTAAGTAAGTAAGTAAGTAAATGTCCATTGATAGCCCAGACAAATTGCTTAGAATACTATTTTCTAAGCCAAGCCAAAACAATTTTAATAAAACGTATTAATATTTCTCAAGTTCATATATTCTTAGTAGGGAAACATGAACTGCAAAAATTGTAGTAAAAAGATAAGATTATTACACCTGTTTCCAATATTATATAAAATTTTGAACAAGTATCTGCTGTACTCTCATCATAAAAATTCACCAGAAAATGGAATTGCATAACTTCACCTAATTAAAGTTATTAGATATGGGCATGTATTTTTGGGGAAAGTTTCATAAAACTTCAGTATAAAATAAAATCTGTGTGTGTTGTAATGAACTTTAGCCATACACACATATAATCAATATCATAACATTCATGTCCACTGGACACCTGTTTATTTTTATTTATTATTCAGTTAATGTGAATCTAATGTCTGATGAGAGAGCTGGAAATGTTCTCAGGCCCAATGTGTTATGCCTATACTGACATGAGCTGATCACTCCCACTTGACATGGGAAGCCTATGAAAAACCCATATTAAAACTGAATAGTGAGAGATGGAAAATTGAAAAATCAGAACACAATTGTATATTAGATGTACTTTCAGAAAATGTGACCATTCAAGGTCATATAACCTACCAGTTATGCCTTGCAGCATGCCAAACATTTTGTGAAACTTTTCTATTATATCAGGTAAGGACACTTTTAAGATACCCCGTCTCTGAATTTGACTATGCTATTCTTCATTTATAAACTGAAGTGCATTTTGGTGCTTTGTGAGGAGAAAAGGAACAAAATTATCTGGGAAGCATTTGAGCCTGTTGGCCCCAAGGGAGTGAACAGAATCCTCAAAGTTGTTGGCATGGCCACTTGCTTATTAGATCCATGTCCTTTCTGGTTGGTCAGACCCTCCTGGGGTGTGATGTGTGGATGAGTCTGTGGTGGTGAATTCATCCTTAAAGGAGAGAGTGGTTCCATCTGCACTTAGGGAGGCCATCCCTTTCTCAAGAAGCCATCAGTGGATTTGACAGCCTCTCTAGCTAGACCAGACTAGAAAACCAACTCACAGGAAGGCCATGATGATGTTTTATTGAGATAGGCAGGTCTGACTACACTGTACCTCCCCTTCTTATACTCCAGTAAATCAGGGAGGTATTTGCCTGGGCTGTTTCTGAATATTCCTGAGTCACCCTCTGGGGGAGATGGGTGGCATATAAATTTTAAAATAAATACATAAATACATAAATAATAAATAAATAAATATTATCTTGATTGCCAGGGCTTAAAGAATGTTTCAGCCCCCTTTGCCTAGATCAGTGATTCTGAACTTTTTTGAAGCTGCCGCCCCCCTAAGGAGTGGAAAATTTTTCAACACCCCGCTT